AGGCAGAGATCCATGTCAACATTTGTAGGTGAGTGGTTCTCAAGCTTTAGAAAGCATCACAACCACCTGAAGGACTATTAAGATTATATATTCCCAAATATATGCCCTAGAATTTGAGTCCATGGGGCTAGAATGGACCCAGAAATCTACTTATTTAAGCACGAGCAGCAACTCTAGTACAAATGGTCCATGGAACATACTCTGAGAAAAAGTGAGATCCCCATGGGACTTCCCTGGTAGTCCAGTGGCTAAGAATCCATGCTCCCAATGCAGAGGGCCCCCCAGGTTCAATCCCTGGTCAAGGAACTAGATCCCACATGCCACAACTAAGAGTTCACACGCCACAACGAAAAATCCTGCATGCAGCAACTAAAAGATCCCGTGTGCCACAACTAAGACCCGGCACAGCCAAATAAATAAATAAATATTTTTTAAAAAATGAGATCCATACAGCATCCCAGTCTTTCCTGGAGCTTCAATCTCAAAAGGCAGAGAATCAGAACCATGGACCTCAAAAGAGAACTAGCTTTCCAGTTCCTAAGATAACTAGTTCAATAAATTTTCCATAGGAAGGAGATGGGAAACAGATTGGATCACCCCAGAACTTACTCATGGTGACGTGACTTAGACGGTGGTGCAGAAGTAGGTGCAGCCCTTGGGGTCATGAGAAGTTTCCTGAAGTCTTCATTAGTGAGTTTTGATCTAGAGGGCGAAAATTTTAAAATTTAGTACCCAATAAGAATTGGAAAAGAAATATATAAAAAATATGGTTCACTTTACTAGAAATCAGAGAAAAACAAATTAAAACAAAGAACATGCCACTTTTAATGCATCAGACTGTTAACGATTAAAAAATTTGATAAATTGGACTTCTTTGGTGGCACAGTGGTTAAGAATCCACCTGTCAAAAAAAAAAAAAGGTTTTCCCTGGTGGCGCAGTGGTTGAGAGTCCACCTGCCAATGCAGGGGACACGGGTTCGTGCCCCGGTCCAGGAAGATCCCACATGCCGCGAAGCGGCCAGGCCCGTGAGCCATGGCCGCTGGGCCTGCGTGTCCGGAGCCTGTGCTCTGCACAGGAGAGGCCACAACAGTGAGAGGCCCGCATACCGTAAAAAAAAAAAAAAAAAAAAAAAAAAAAAAAACCCCCCT